TCAGAGAAAATGTTGGGATAGAAACCCAGTTTCTGTAGTTCTAGAAAGAAGATCAAAGTAACTGGAACAAAGAGAAAAAAATACATCAAGCCACTGAGATCAAAAAGACGTCTGTCATCAGCAGACAAAAGGAAGGCAGTAGAGCAGGACACCAATGAAGATAATGGGATGTGGTTCAGGATGAAAAAGGCAGAAACAAGCTGTGGGAGAAAGAAAGATGGACTGTGAAACAGGAGACTGGTATTAGATTGCCAGAGCATAGGAGATCTAAGAAAACAGTGGGCTAGTAGGAGGACTGAAAAAGATAGCAAGGCATCTGTAGCAGGAACTGAGAGGTACTGATGCAGGGATTTGAATTGGTTAGCCTGGATAAATTAGAACTTGGAACAGAGGTCTTAAAAGTGGTTGGGGAGACTGGGTCTTCAGTAAAAGGCAAGGGATGGAGTAGAGCTAAAATTGTGACAGAAAGAGACAGGAGGTAACAGAGCAAGAAGTGTGCAAAACTCACGGGAGCAGCTAAAAAGGAACCAAAATTCCTGAGTCTGACCATCTTTTATCTGTGCAAAACCAACTGGCAAAGCATCTTGTTCCCCTCCAGCATGATACCATGCACAGAAAAATAGCTAGCACTTAATCTGTTATTAAATGAAAAGGCTTGAGGTGCTGGAACTAGATGTCCCAGTCTTTCTATGTATGTATGCAATTATAAGATACATTTTAATGTCACAGTATGGGATTTCCATTTTTGAAGAAAAAGCAAATTCAAAAAGTGTACGCACAAAAAAAGTCAAGAGAATTATGGGATTGGAAGGTCAAGCACTTTCCTGTTAAATATGTAACTTTAATTCATCTTATTTGTGCTTGTACATTAAGATAAAGTGTTTAAGGATTCAGGAAGGAACCTACTATTTGTATTTTCTTGATCTTTACACGATAAAGTATTGCAAGGGGAAAACAGAACCTATCCATAAAAGTTTCTGGACTACTGTGAACTAGTTCAGAAAATAAATATGGCTTTTCCTTTGGAAGCACATGCAGTGAGTACAATCTTGTCCCCAGGATACTGAGGGCAGGATTGACCTGTGACTAGTACACATGACTTTGTTCTTTCTTTAATATCACAGTTTCATGACTCTGGATTTGGCCAGGAAAATGCACAGTCCCCACAGCTTTCCTGCTTTGAGTGGTTTTTGTGGTTCATAAGGCAAAACTCCTCAGTCAAGCAGAGAAGAACTGAAGGGCAGTGTTGTGGCATGGAATATGGAACTCATTGGAATTGGAGTGATATCTGGGGTTCACATCAGGGGCAAAAATCCTTTCATGCTTTATGCCAGAAGATCATCTCCAAGGAAATCTGACAGCTTCAAAGGTGTCAGTGCAAAGTTGTTGAACTTCACACACACTGTTAGATAAAGCTCACTATTCTAGAAAGTATTGCAGATAACTCAGTCTTGCCATCCATTTGCACTTTCTTGTTATTTAGACAGCTCTGTCTATAACATTCACGCTGTATGGACACATATAAAAGTAATTTTTAGAAAGTCCTAAAATTCCTTGTACTAGAAGTACAAGGATCTTTACTAAAAGCATTTGCATATTTACAAAACACATACATTGTCATACGCTACAACACAAGTGCCTTTTTTTTTTTTTTTCCCCCAGACAGCTTGTAATGATTGTAAACTAGAGTAGTCTGAGAAGAACATGAGGTTATTGCTCTTTGCCGAAGTGCTCTGGGATTTTTAATGGCCAGAAAGTACATGTTCATCTTAACATTTATGCTGAGCATTTCTTGCAGCACTATGGATAAAATGGGAATAGACAAAATAGGTCTCCTGAGACATGTAAACTCCAGATTTAACACAGTCTGAAAATCAGGTGCACTGGGGTAATGTTCCAAAACAGCTTCAAAGCCAGTCACCCTTGCAGGTGTTGAATACCTGCAGCTCCTTTTCTCCTTGTGCTTAATTTCCTGTTTCTTACTGAATGTGCACTCTGTGCCATTTCATTTCAACATCTCTAACAAATATTATCCCACAAAACAACCTTTTAAATCTCCTGACTTGTCCAAAAACTTGATTCCAGTAACAAGAGAAAAAAGAAAAATAGTATAGACCTCAACATTTTCAGTGGCTTCCAGCAAAATATTTTTCTTTTTCTACCAGCCAAATCCAGTCTTCATTCTTAGCTGTTATCTCCCCCTTCCTGATGTGTCTAGCATAACAGAGCTAAAGTTTTTGTCTGATAACATGGATTTAGTTGCTGTGACTAGTGCTGCTTCCATTCATGTGAGCAGTTCTAGCCTGCTTTGTTCTCCAGAGTTTTGCCTTCTGTTGCATACAGTGCAGATTGGTCTTTTATCCCAGTCTCTATTGTTTGGCAGATTGTTGATATTGTTGTTGTTGTAATGGGCATCTTAATAGCCAAACTGCTCTAGGAAAACCTTTCAGAGGAAATGAATGAATTTGTAGAGAAACTGTGCCACCCAGCAAATTGTAGGGGTTGTTGCCTCAAAGAACATTACTTGCTTTTCCATGTTTGTTCAGAGAGCACATTTACTCATAAGACGCTCGGACTCCTTCTCTAAAATGTGATGAAGTTGATGGAACCATTCTTTACATCTGTGAGACAATCTAGATTTTAAACAACTGAAAGAGCATAATTGGTTAAGATACATTAGGAAGTTGTAATCACATGTGACTCTTCTAAACTACTGGTCATGTACTTTTTTTTTTCAGTTAGAGGATATAAAACTTATGGAATATTGAACACTAATACATCAGTAACTAACAATTGCATATAATTTCTTTTTCTGCTTGGACTAGTTAGCATCTGGATACAGGTAGGTTCTTCCAGAGCATAAGACCATGGTCAGGTCGCCGATAAATTAGTAAGAATCTTATCATTAAATTAAAAGAGCTGGAGATCAAGCTGAATACAGAGAATCAAATATATCCTCAGGTAAATGAGAGTTAAGGAAGAGATTTCAGGACTGAAACATTAAAACTGATAGAAATAAGTGATCTTACAATGCCATAAGAGAGCTGTGCGGAGAGGTTTCCAGCTTAATCTTCTCAGCATGTCAACTGGCTTACTGGAACACATCCATCTCCTTAAAGCAAAGTATCTCTCCCCAAAGTCTACCAAATTCAATGTGTGGCTTACTTCTGGGTAGGAACAGGTGCCTCTGAGAAATTGGTAATCCTGGGACATAGTTCATGGTTTTCCCTGGGCATGGACCAGCTGAATCGGTTCATAAAAAGTGACCCTGGAAGCACTTCCGTAGTTTATTGGTGTAAGTGGTCAGCAAGTAGAGCAGTGAGACTAAAATGCAAGGGTATTTTACAATATTCCTGATTTTTTAAGTGTAGATGGGCATTTGGACACACAAGTAATGATTTCAGGGTTAAAAAGGTAGACTTGGACACTTTAAAATGACTTAGGATTCAATATTACAGTGAGCGCAGTGCATGGAGAAACAATCATGAGGCGATGATTTTTCCTGTGTAGTTGCAAATGTAGGATCAGTAACTAAAGCACTTGAGTCTCCTAGGAGGGTTTGTAAAATAAAAAACTTTCACTGAGGAGTGGTTATACATTCAAATGATTCTGCTGTCATATGAAAAAGTGCTCAACAATATGATTAAAGCCTTGCCATCTGGTTGCAAGAGAATATGGTTTTCAACAGAATATTGACTTCAGTGGGGCTATTTTCATAGGCTACCACCAGGGAAAAAGGTTCCCATGTCAGTCTTTGTTAGTGAAGGTATTGATCCTTTGTCAGGGAAGGAATGTATCACAGGTTCATGAACAAATTAATTTCTATATTAGAAAAGAATGAAGAATGTATTTAAAAAAAAGTAGTGAAACAAACAACATCAGTAATAGTTTTAAGAATTAATTAACTGAATTGACAAAGCAAGAGTTAGACAGTCACTGTTGCATGATAAATTTTTGCATATGATTACAACATATCATCTAGCATGTTTATTGTACATTTTGAGAATATAAGCATTGAGTCAAAATACACAGTTAATAAACATGGATTAAAAAGCCCAAATTAAATTTGTAGTCAAATATGCATGAATGTGTATGCACTTGGTAGACACTAGTGACATTTCCCTGTTCCATCATAGTCCCATTTGGTAAACATTAATATTTAAAGACTGATGACTTCCATTATGTCTGCAATATTGCTCATGAAAGTCTGGGAATAAAAATATTTCCTGAAGTCAGGTAGGTCCAGCATGAATTGGTATTGGAAGTACGTGTAATGACTGCCCACATCTGAGACCATGTCTGCACAGGAGCTTCCTTATTGATACATGAGCCTGGTTCACTTTATGGTTTCTAATGTGGCTGGAAATACATCAGCCAAATTGATCTATTACCTTTAACAGCTCCCCTCTCTCTTTTATTTCAGGAAATTAAGCTGTATCAGTAAATGAGAGCTTTTGCTGGCAGGGGTTTACTTGTGGTGAAGTCTTCCATGTTGGTCAGCAATCACGTCCCCACAGCCTTAGCCAAGACAGATGTAGCAATTATTTATCAAAGCATTTGTTCTTTGCCAGATGTAGAGAGCCAGTGGTTCTTGTGAAAGGGGAGGTGCTCACTGTCACCCGTTGAGGTATAATACAGATGTAGCATGTACAACCTCCTTTTTCACTACTGTACTTCAGAGCCACTGAGGAAGCCCCAGACACCAGGCAAAACAATGTTTTTATTTCCTTAGTCTGAGCACACCATCTCTGAAGTCATGTCAGTGCATGGTAACTTATATGATCTGTATGATAAGAAGCTGTCAGCACTTAAGGTATTTTTCCAGATAGCCCACGCAAACTAGCATCTCTTTTCAATATTTTTCAGAGCAGCAGTTATCTGTTACAGTGACAGACTTGGAACATTTTGTATCTTCTTACTAAGCTCTTTGCCACTGAGTCTGACTGTCAGCAACACTTTGGGTTGTCTGAGAGTTATTGAAGGAGGAAAAGCTTTCTTACCTAACCGAGCTGCTGCCAGCATCGAGGTCTTGTGCTGTCACTGCACCTATAATGGTCCCCACAGGCGTATCCTCATAAACCTCCATTGTGTACATAGGCTTGCTGAAAACTGGAGGTTCATCCATGTCCAACACATTTATCTTCACAGTGGCAGTATCTTTGAATGGACCCACCGAGTGAAATCGATGGTCAAGATGGAGATTGGAGGCCTCAACTTTAAAGGTGTATGCCTTTTTTGTTTCAAAGTCTAATGGCTGTAGAAAGAACAAAAGCAAAACATCAGATTTGACTAAAAATTAAACACTGAAAAATCACTTTGGTAGGATTAATCTAATATAACTTAAGATGCCTTCAGTGTAAACTTCAGCTCCTGAGCTGATCGTCTAAGCTTGTTTTGCCTTTCATCTCATGCTGAGGTGGTTTCTGAAATAGGCTAGATGAATCATACCAAGGAAATGACTGTTTCTCCACATCAAAAAAATCAGGATGACTGGCATGGATGTAAACAGTTACACTGTAGATGCCTGAAGTTAAATGAAGGAGATTCATCTCTTGCAAATGAGTTGTGTGCAGATTAGCCAGAGATTTGTATTCACAACTCCCATGCACAGGCAATCAGCTGTCTCTAGCTGATCCAGTTACTTAAACAGAAGATTTCCATTTCTTTTAGTAGGCTCTCAGAGGACCATGACAATAATGGAAATGAGCCCAAATGAAAACTCTGATATATACCAATGGGTCAAACCAAACGTCAGGTATGGCTTGGAATGTGAATTCAAACTTGATTTGAACCAAGTTTTTCCTGTAAAATGTCTATCTTAGCAGTGAACTGTTATTCACACCGTATATTTGAGCTGCATGTATCTTGAAAAATGTAGACTTTGACTCTGCCCTATGATCCTAGGTGTAATCCATAAGGTCTTGAAGGCAGCATAGCAGCTTTTGTATACCTATCTGGGTTTTTGATGGAAATGCATCCTGCAGTCAGATTGTTTTGGTGTGGGTTTCTGTCAATGTACATCAATTTAGCGCCTTTGGTTTTAGAAAAGTAATCATCTCAAAAACCTTAATGCAGTCTTATTTAGTTGAAAAGACACAGAAGCTTTATTTTCAGTTAAATGGTTTAGCTGTATCGGCGTTCATGTTGTTTTTATTACTGACAGTGTCTTTTCCTGATGTCTGGATAACACTGGCACCTAGTGGTTTCTACCTGTAACTGTCAAGTTGGAAATTCTCTACAAGAAAGGATATGCTATCTGGAAAAGAGAGCAGGACCACAAGTGCATGAGCAAGAATATTTCAATGTCTGTCATTTTTTTTCCCCAGTCATCATTACCGCAGTGTTTCCAGTCATTTGTCACAGCTAGGATAGATTTAAATTCTGCCATTTTCTGTCCTTATCACAACAGGACATAATTAGCCAGATGACTGGCTGGTGTAAATTGAAGTAGCTTCATTAAAATCAATTGAGTTACCTTGACTTACATTAGCTGAAGAGCGAGTATAATGATTTTAAATCCTTATGAAAGACTTTATAATTTTAATAGACCAGATGGTCAGTCTTTTCCGAGCTGGGCACTTAAAATTAGCCATCCAAAACTATATACCATAGAAATAATCAGGCTTGAAAGCCAAGTACTACTAACGAATCCACTACCACATGCAACCATCTTCCTACATACAAAATTCCCAGTAAAAGCCCATATGAGTTGCACCTTCGTGACTGGACTGACAGAAAGAAGAAGAAACTAAGGCTAAGAAGAAACAGACAAAATTAAGTGTGGAAGATCTTGTGCCCTAGTGGTGAAACCCTAAGCTGTTGCCTTCACTACAAATGGACATGCTGCTTCATTATCCAAACTGTTGTCACACTGTCTTTTCAGTTTCTCTGCTACTTATGTTCACTGTTATGCATTGACAAAAAAAAACCCCCCCCCAAAAAACCCCCCCCCCCCCCAAATCTTCTCCAGCTGATTGTATAAATTGTAAACACGTTTTCAAAAAATATATTAAGGGGAGAAAACCTGGAGTTTAAAGAACCAGTCTGGACTGGAAAAAGTCTAAGTATGAAGGGTTAAGCTAGAGATAAATTATGAGTATATTTGCAGATAGATGTGCTAATGGAAAAAGCTGTAATCCATGCAGTCCTTGCAGGCTGTTTTTCACTGAGTTACTCTTCAAGGCAGCAGTACCAGATTACAGTCCTTGGCCAGTGCCCAGACACAAGGGGGAACAGAGTCCTTGTTTGGGGATGGACAGAAAGAAATAAGATTTCAAGTAATTCTGTGTATTGGTGTGCCCAGGCTGGCATATTTTACTGCCCAGCTACCCAGAAGCTGGATAAAGTGGCAGCATTACTTCTCTCCCCCCAGCATTATGGGGCAATGCTATGGTATATTTTTTAAAAACACAGTTTAACCCCAAAAAAGGAAATTGTTTTCCCACTGTAACCTCAGAGTAACCCTTTCTGTCTTTCTGTCCTTCTATGGGTCTGATAAATATAGTTAGAGGTTAAACAATATGTGTCCAATTCAAAGCACAGATGACACTCAAAATAAGAAAAGACAGGCTGAAAATGCTGAGCCATTGTCAGATAAAGAAATTAGTGACAGACTCCCACAAAATAGCAGAATTTAGCCTTTTAATATAAGTGAGGCTAAACTGCAGCTGAAACATCTGTGGGAAGATGGGAAATGTTGCAAATGGCAAACCTAGGATTTAATTTGAAAAATAAAAAGATTTTATAAAACATATATCATGCAGCAAAAGAGTATGGTTTCAATGTATTGTGTTTATGAGGAGTCCATGCTACAATCTCCTGATCAGTTCTGGTTTCCCAGTTTTGAACAGTTGTGCCATATAGATAGCTATTGACATTTTTTTTTTTTGCATTTTTGCATTTTTGCATTTGTTTGGTATGGCTGGAGTCTGCCTGAAAACAGAAGAATTGAATGTTTGCCTAGCTCTCAGGCAACACCTTTTGGATTTTCAGTTTTAAAGATGTTAAAATAACATTTCTTTGTATTTCTTTTTTAGTAGATACCACTAAAATTTGTGAAGGACTTGAGTGGTCCACACAACATTTTTTTTTTTTAACATATTTTGCTGTTACATAATAAACATCTGACAGTGCTCAGTCCTATTTTCATTTAAAATCTGAAATGCTGGTAAAGGTACAAACATAGCAGAATATTTGAATTTTACAGAAAAAAAATGTAAGATTATTGAAACACCTTTCAATTAATCAGATTTTAATGGAATGACTTCATAGAGGCAGGGTTTTTTTAAATAACCGATAGAAATATTTATTCCTTCTGTAAAACTAATTATATTCAGAAAGCTAGGTTTGAATAAGACTTTTATTTTACAGAAGTTACTAGTTTTTCCACAGTAAAAACTGTGGAAATAGTTTTTGCTATTATTAGTTTGCTATTATTTGCTATTACAGTTTTTGCTAATATTAAGGCAATGTCTTGTTAACTATGAACTATTCAACAATTGGAGGAGTATTTCTAATTGATATTCTAAGCACCAGTGACAGAATAGATGTATTTGCCCCCCCTGCTAGTTCTTACCTGCGTTTTCCTATGTTGTGGTTACAAGCTGTTCTATATAGTTGCATAGTAAAGCACTATCAGCATATACACAGCTGTGTGCAGCAAAGGCGTTCTACAAATCCCCAAATCAAATAACAAATACTGACAAATCACTTTATCTTGCAACTCCGGAAGTACCATGACTGGACTTATTTGGTATGACTAGGAAAGCACATAAACAGCTCTGTGTTAGAAATAAATATATTTTGAAATATTACTGTTTACCGTATTCAAGGTAGAAGCTAAGAAATGCTACTATATAGATGTATCTGTATCTAGATGTATATATTAGATAGATAGATGGATAGATGCAGAGAATTAAAGAACTGAAAGAAAAAAAATGGGTTGAAAGATATAATGAATTCTGATGAGAAGCACGGCGAGGGTGGGAAAAGAGCTATCCTACCAGTTTACTCTGCTTCACAAAGAGGCAGAACCAGAAATTCCAGAAAATTCTGCTTTTTATCCACACATAAGAGATACAACAGCATTGTTTGTGATACAGGCTTTCATGATCCACACCTACAATGATGGAAAAGCCATATTTTGGGATGAAACTGTGAGTACAAGGACATATGGATAGTTACAGACAGCAGCACTGGCTTGACATGAAGCTCATATTAACTTAGGTTTGTCTTCATACTAGTGTTGTGCAATTGTAGAACAACTCTGTGTCATGAGTGCCTGTCTCAAAACCTGACAATACTTTTCCCTTGAAGATGGACTGAACATCTGTATATTTTGTGAAAGACTGCCATCAGCCTATTTGCTGTGCATTGACATGTTTCAGTAATTGCACTTCTACACTGGATTTTAAATAGCATGAGGAAATAATTGGTATTATAGAGCAGGTTGGTTTATTAAAGCAAGCTTCAGATCAACCAGGAACATTCATTAATTACAGAGATGAGAATGCACAGTAAAAAATGAGATCTGTAGGCCAAACCTACAGCAAGTGCTGTAGATTTGACCAAATCTGAAGTGAGTGTTTCAAGATTTGATAGGAAGTGGGCAAAATATATGCATGTTCTGTATCTGGAGAAGGGAATAAGCTGACCAATGTCAGGGGTTCAGTTGTTTGCTGCTCTCAAACATTTTACCCATTTCTGCAGGTGCCTTTCACTATTCCAGGAAAAAGCAAACCCAACAGCTGTATCATCTGCAAACTGGAGAGACTTAACATCTCCCCTTCCTCATCCTCCTGTCATTCTTCTCTGTGGCTGCCACGGTCTTTATGATTGTGTCTGCACCTGGGTCACCACTTTCTGCCTGTATTGAAGAACTTATTATCACTTGCTCTTCCTCCCCAAAATGTAAAACCACAATTCCCACTTACACAAGTTCATGAGTTATGATTATAGGCAGACAGTGCCTATGCACACACATGCAGAGAGTATTCCCTGCCTCTGGAGAACGAAGGGGTGGGGTGGGGTGAGCAGTCTGTACAGTCTTGCTACTAAAGCAAGTAATATCAGTAATGCAATTCTGGCTGAGGAATGTCAGGAGTCTGCCTTATGCTCACCATTATGGTGTACAGATGCTATCAGACTGCTCTTACATTATATCAATGATGTCCTAGCACTACATACATTGGCTGTCCCACGAGCAAGGCAACTCAGCTTAGTCAACAGTCAAACTTCTACTTGCTGCCTCCAATGAAAGGCTTTTTAAAAGTGACCCCTGAGGCTACAAGGAACCATACACTCTAAACACCTCCTTGCAGCTACAGGGTCTGTTCATCGTCCTCCCAGTTTCTGTTATTTTATCATCACTAAAGATACTGTTTCTTATCATGCAGTGCTATGTCCTCCCTGACATGCTGTGATTTCATGGATATAGCTTTGTCACCTGATCAGTTAGCAGGGGTACATGGCTTACAAAAACTAAGATGAGGATGTTCCCTGAGCTTCCACTGACCCACATGGAGAAGCCCACCCAGTAGAGCGCAGCAGTGTAGGATCATACCAGGTGAAGTCTAGAAACAGCTTTTTCCTGGGTTTTAATGACACTCTGCACAAGTTAGTAAAGCAATGTCTGAGCCAGACTCAGTGCTTGAACCCTGCTCAATTTCTGGATTAGCTCATGTGGAGCCAATTAAGAGACTTCTGCACACAATGGACTTATCCTATAAACTCACACTTAGTTTAATAAATTTAGTGCCAACTGTTCAGTGAAGCTTGGATCCTTCTGTTTTCCTTTACTGTTGGGTGTGGTCATTAAAGATGACTTATCGGTTTCAATAAAATTAGGAGCTTGCCTGGGACTGATACATTTTCCCTCCATACCTGGGAGCACTACTTCGTGCCTCACCTGAGGTCACCACCCTCCAGTATGAAGGAGATGGTGCCTTCTGTCACCCTGCTTCTTGTAACTTACACTCACTGTAGTTTGCTGAAGCATTCAGGTAGGATGAGAGATACTACATAAATATAAACCCCAGTACGTATTAAATAGCACCAGACAAGGGAAGAAATTAGTCATTCTATTCCTAATATAGTAATATTTCTTACTTTCATAGACAAGAGTATGCAGCACTATCCTAAATCCAGACATTTCCCCCTCTTTTTACTGATACTATTTTCCCTTTTTCTTGAGAGAGGAAGCTATTACAGTTCTAACCACACAGTGGCGCTAAATGGCATTTCGATCATTTCTTTAGCAGAATATAAGAAAAGCTATTCCATTTTTAATATATGTAAATAGCACATGAGTAGTAGTAATCAAGCTTATATTGGATCATAGCATGAAAATAAATTAGGAGCCAAAACAGATTATTTAAGATGTGCACCTTTTCCAGCTGTAGCTCTTTATGTGCATTTATCGTCCGAGAAGCAGAGAATGACCTTTTGCTTCTGCTAATGTACGTAGCATGCTGAAAAGAACAATTTGGCTTGTGCAATTTTTTATCATCAAATATATTTTCCACCAAAAATAAATGTAGTCCAGGAAGGCTTCATTTTTCTCAATTTTGATATAGAAATGTGTCCATTTTTTTTTGCATAACAACAGAACAAAAAGCATCTATGCAGTGACTGACAGTTTCTGCCTGCAAGAAATTTTTCAGGAAAAATAAGGCAAACTTTATAAATGGTTTTGAAATGCCTCAGCACTGAATTACTGCAGCACTTACAGCATCAGAATATGCTATGATACAGAAAAAAGTGCAAACCTGTTTTTAAAGCACATGGCACTTTTTATTAGTGGCTTTGTTTATTATTTATATTTCATAATTGAAAGTGTTGGTCTTATTCATTCACTAGCTTTGATTTAAAGAAGGATTTAAATACATACCTAACTTAAATATTTCTGTAATCCCACAAGGTCAAATCAGTGTTTTGAACACCATGCAATGTGAAATTGCTTCTCTGCAGGCAAACGAATAGTGCTGTTGCAGGCTTGTACAGTATGGGTAGCGTGCATTTTAATAGGTGTCTACAGAATTGTGTATGTCCAGCACTTCTGAAAATCTGAAAACTGCAACCCATGAAAACACATTTGTATTATTACAAGTGCAGAGGATATGAAAAGACAACTGAGTTAACAGTATCTTTAAGAATCCAGATTGTTCCTTTTTAACCTGGGATCGAGCAAGGAACTTAAGTGGATAGATATGGATAATTCCAAAACATCTTAAAACACTTGAATCATTTAAAGCTCAGTGAATGGGACATTTTTCCTGAGAAAATGTTTGTGAAGGGCAATGTGTAGGGTCTGTATAAAGGCATTCTTTGCTGGAGGACCTGCATGTTGGGTTTATCTTCTTTCCACACTCTTGCATAGAACAAAGCTGGCATTCCCTGACCTTCATAGCCTGTCACTGTCCCCAGGCTCACTGCAATGAAGAAGATTAAGAAGGAATTAGGATTATATTTTTTCCCCTCCTGCTCAGTGACAGAGATCTATCATTTACATTAAGCAACACCAACCAATGTTCTGCTGTTGTAAAAGTGCCCTAAAATTTCAGATATGCCTTATCTTGTTACTGGAAAGACTAAATAAATGCAGCCAAATACAATGACCAGTTCTAAAGTATCTGGATATAGAATTAGTTGTGCCAAATTTTTTTTTTTTAAATTAGTGGTTCAATTAGATATTCTATAATTCCCCATATAGGAGTCTCAAAAGTGGCCAGGCATTTTGTTTGTGCTGGTTCTAAGATAATTGTATCAGGCAAATTCATATGTGGATGCTCTTCATCAGTAACAAATATTATATGCACTCTGTTTGAATCTGCATTGCCAATTTGAATGTTTTGCCTATACAATCTATATATATATATATACACTTAACTGTAAGTACGGAAAAATTCCATTGCTGTGTATAAAAACAAGCAGCACAGCTGCTTAGGACTAATCCAGGAAGAACTGAATCCTATCAAAAATCTATTCTTGATGCTCAAACATTCATTTTTCAATGGTTCCCACTCAATGCCATTTCCGACTGCCAGTGCATGTGGAGGGGCATGCAGCTGCTCAGCCTGACAGTTCCAGATGGAGCTAATTTTGAGTCATCTGCATAGAGGGAAAAAGGTGAACAGAACATTTTTAAAGATGAAACAAAGTTTACAAATTCACATAAGGAGGAAGCAGTACATTCAAACTTTTAGTCAGAAAAGAAGGAGGTGTGTGAAGAGTGCAAAGAGATTGTGTCTCCTTGACAAATTACTTCCTGTGGGTATCAGAGATTCTATTTTGTGTCACTAAAACTAGCAGAAGAGTAAGTGACTTGACACCATCTGGTCCTTTAATGCACTCATGGATAATCTGCTATTTCCTGGGTCAAGAGGCTGAAGCCAGGAATTTCATTGTTAGAGTAAGTATAATGCAAATATAGATCCATGGTCAGAGCTGGGGGGAATTTAAGCACCTAAATTCTAAATTTTACTGGAACTAAAGCTTCTCTTTTCCTAAAGCTTGTCTTAATAGACATGTCCAGAAGTCTTTCCTTCCCAGACCCTTGTGAAGTGTTCAGCTCACAGATGTGTATACTTTACAAAAATTACACCTACAAGCATGAGCTGTCTATAAAACATAACCTGGCCTTTCAAAATGAGCTGGTGGTTCAGATTTCTTTCTACTAAACAAGCTGATCATTGGTGTACATGTACATGCCTGGAATCAGAAGACAACCATTGGTTAAAAAGTGTCTGTCCCTGTTTTGGATCTCTCCTACAGAGTGCTTTAATCACTAAATTCTAAATAACACTTATCCTTTCCATCTTTGAAATTCATAAATTCAGTAATCTTGAACTTTTTCTAGTACACTAAAGCAACATCAACAGCTGAGATGCAGTGTGCTCTCTTGCATGAATATCTAATAACCAGATATTTTGGACACTATTAGGAGACTAGAAGTAGGATATGTCAATCTGCAACCATTTGGTACTCCTCCACCCTGAGTAAAAACTCTGTTCACCACAGCAATGTACAACAGTTTCATTATTAAAATAACAAACATAAAATCAAAGTTTTCAAAATAAAATGTTTACAAGTGAAAATGAAATACACTATCTCAAACATAAAATATAGCTCTTTCATTCCATGCTCTGAACTGGAGCATTTTTCATATGGTTTTAGGTGGAAAACTTCCCATAAAAGAGAAATTATACCTCCTAGAAAGAGACAAGAATTACTTTGCTGCCATTAAAATTGACATTATTTGTGAAATTCATACCTGATTTTACATGAAATGAAACACTAAACTCCAATTTCTTTTAAGACTAAGATCACAACCACAGATTCTAATAAAGATACACACTACTGTGTGTTACTTCTGAGGTATAATTGCACAACATTTAATTCTCTTACCTAGTTTCTTGCTTGAGCCATAGGTACATACACTCCATCAGTGCCACATACCTTTTTCAATTTGATGACTCCTTCTTGGGTATTCTCATCTGTTGTGATGTCAAACAAGTTTCCTCCATCTCCTGGAACTATGTTGTACTCAATTTCTGCATTTTTCCCAAAATCAGGGTCCACAGCTCTGATCCTCCCAATAGCAGAACCGACGTGAGAGGACTCAGGAACTTTTAAATGGAAGATACCTGTGACAAAGTGGTAAACAGTCATTCTTGGGATTTCTTGATAATTAACATAGTATGTCTGATTAAAACCATGGAGCTTGTGCAAAATAAACAGATTTAAATCATCCAATTAAAATGATGATATCAAAACAACAAAGGATTAGAAAAAGATATGCATGTTTTAGCTACTGAACATGTTAATTTCCCCTAGTTTCTAGATTTTGTCCAGTGCAACTGTAAGGGCCTTAACATCTCTCTCTCTTGAGATATCTATCTATATTTCAATCTTTAATTTTGCCCATATGGTTGACTCTTTTGAATTAAATTCTACTCATAGACAGTACATGTTTATAAGCATTTTCCTCCTTCTATGTTTAACAGTTTTTAGTATCTGAATTATTATTGTGTTTGAGAAAATATATCTATGCATTTCACAGCAGTTGAAAGGAAAACTTCAGTGGAAAAAGGATGTCCACCCATTTCTGTAATATTCAGTATTATAATTACATGTACGAGTCCTTGTGGGGAGGAAGATATAAAGAGTATTGTTTATACATTAGCCACGAGAGGATGTTCTTACTAAAATTTCAGTGCTAAACATAATTTTTTAGCTGGTTATAAGAGTAAAAAAAAAAAATACAAAAATTACACACTTTTAAAATAAGCATTACTACTGATATGTGAAGACAAAATGGTTTCACTCAGGGAAACAGCTATGTTGAAAAAAATGTCAGAAATAATAGTTAAAATAGCTAAAAGAAAAGGTCCAAAATACTTTGCTACAGCCTTTACTTTAACGACATCAGTAGCAGCAGGCCTTATTTTATACCACTGTGCCCTGGTTTATTACACCGCTGCTGAAGCGCCTGACTTTCCTGTCCAGCTGCAGCTCTCGCTGGAGTTGTTATTTTGCACAGCTGGTAGCGAACATCACCATGATGAGTATTTCTAGTGGGCAGGTAGCGCTCGCCTTTCTTTACACAGCAGCCTTCGCTGTCAAAACGGCCAGCAGCTTTTGGAGCTGATTTCAGTGGGCCCGAGTTGTTTGATTCGCTTCATCCTGGCTCTCAACAAAGCTGGCATTTGCTTGCCCCATCAGCTGCACATTTCATTTTCCTGAGTCATCCTCCAACAGCCCTCACAGAGCAGTTGCTTCAGCACAGGAAAACATTGGCAATGGCCATCTCTGTTCCTCTACATATGAATACATAGGAGGAAATTTACACCTCTTTTTCAATAATATAGCAGAACAGGCATCTGTGAATAGTGGGAGGCATATTAGGGGGATGTCTGGGAGATTTTCTCCTGGTACTGGTTCAGTCACACTTCACAAAATAAGGCTCTGAGAATTTGTATATCATATAACAGCAGGATAGACGACTTTCGCATCCAGTCACTGAATTAAACAGCAGACGCTGCTCCCTGTCGCTATCTCCTTACAATGCATGCTGTGTCAGCTTTTTCAGCTTTACAATACTTCCAGGTGAGGAAAAAAATTACATTAGCACTGCTAGATTTGGAGTAAACCTACACTTTTGTGAGCTAATAGTTTGGGCTATGGTACCTATAGAATTGTCTACTTGATTGCCTCTGAAAAAACGAGCTTTGTCTGCTTCCTCCCTTTGTCCATCCGTATGCAAAGTATATCTGAAGGCAAAATTTGCTTCATTTGTTTGAGAGAATCCCTGTAAGGAAAGTCCACTTGTGTCAGCATCCACATTTGGACATTACCATGTGTGGCTCTTGTAGTACTTATTGACTGAGCTACTAAGGTTTGTGCAATTATCATTTCATTATTTTTCCCAAGGGAACATACTAAAGGAACCTTTCCTTCTTCTTTCTCCAAGGGAATGTACTGAAGGAAGCTTTACTTTTTCTTCTTCTCCTTCTTGTTTTAACAGCTGGAAAGAAGCACTACAATGGAAAATGTTATCAAGACAGAGGAGGCTCAGCTATTTCTTAGTTGTACTTCAATGACTGAGTAAAGGATAACATTTTAACATGGTATGCAGGAGACAATCACAAATCCTCCTGTTATCTAACGTCACTTACAAATATGCCTATTACTGAGTCTCTGCTATGCAAGTTGTTCAGAAGAGATGGAAGAAAAGAGAGCTAAAAGGGCTCTGCCTATACTTGAATTTTATGTTACATTTCCACAACATAGTTCTAGCCATCATGCCTAGTTCTTTTACAAACACTTACATTGTGCCACAGAAATAATTGCTGCAGTGTTTGCTCTTTACAGCCACAGTTCTGGTGAACATAAAATGTAAGAGCATATGTTAACAGATTTTTCCTTCTTTGCCGAGTTGATCTATTAGTGAACTGAAGAGCACTCAGACTCATTAAATCAAACATTTCTCTATAAAATACTGTACCTGGCTGTAAAGCATATGGGACTGAGATTAAGTCAAAGAAACACTACATTACTCATTTCAAATTGTTTAGGCTTTTATCAGTTATTTTCAACGACTTGGCATTTCATCACTTCCAGAAATTCAACAGCAATAAAGATGGGGTCATTCAGATTAATTTGAAACTCTGAAGTAATCTTCAACTCTGTCAGAGTCAGATCTCTGAAGATGTAGTATGTAATTACACTGCCATCGTCCTCCTGTAATAGTATCTTCACAGCATATGGACGCTGTTAATGGTGCTACTGTGACAACATACTTTCAGAATAAAATAAATGAAAACAAATAATGTATATTGTTGCCAGCTCATGGAAAAAACTTCAGGAGAATATAATGTATAGCATGAAAACCCTTTTTTTCCCCCCAAGAAAATAGTCTTTGTATAGAGGACATTTGAAATGATCAATACATATTGCACGTGAAATGTAACAGAAAGACAGTTTTGTAGATTTTTATTTTTCTGTTTCTAGGAGACATTACTTCTTGCTGTGGACTTGCTGTGACAGTTTGGCGTTATTCAATTTTTATTGTCCATTTTGCCTGTATACACTACTACCTCCATTTGCTATAGAGGTATATTGAAATAGGCCTAAGTAATAACGTTTTACCCCCAAAGGTCCTGAAAACCTTGTTCTCTGCAGCTTCTAGGAATGATGGAACAAGCAGCTCAGGCAAACTTATGCAGCAGCTGGTTACGCTGCTCAAACTGTTCTATCAAATTTTGTAGATTGTCTCATGTGACTACTCTGCCTACAAAAATCTTTCCTTCTACTTGCATAAATCTCTTTCAAACATATTTTCTAAGTTTGCTGCTGGCTTTTATAAAGGATGAGTGATATGGGATGCACCAAAGGATCAAGCCCTTACTTCCGTCAGACTGCACTATGAAACTGGACTTTGCAACTAGCTACCCTTTTGCTGATTTCAGTCGTGTATATTGCATGCATGTCGGAGTATTTTCACATATAGGAAAGCTAGTAGCAATGTATATTGCCCGATCAAGATTTTTCATTCTGTTGTAAATGGAATTTTAAGAAAAAAAAAGTTAACTGTTATTTTTAAGGCCAAAAGTCATGTGCCAGATGACATGCTTAACTTATGCAACACTTCGCACTTAAATTACACTTAAACTTCAGCCCAGAATCCAAAACTAGGGAAAGCCCAATGATTATGTAGCTTAACATAAGCATTCAGGCATTCCCTTATAAAGCCTGTGTAGTGTCTGTGTGACTGAAGGTATGAAACTTCCTCAGAGTTTCAGGTTAAGCAGCATCAATAAAGATGATAAAAATAAATGAGTGATGATCCTGTTTAAGGTTTTAGGCTGAAATGACTGATAGGGCTTATTACTCAGCCCCAAAAACATTCAGGAAACCGAGGTGGAGGTAAGCTAACAACTCATACATGCTGCCTCCAAGTTTCTAAAACAAAGATGGTTCCAAAGCATATAGCAGGAAGAAATCAGAGCTGAGTAAGTGACAGGTAATCAGTCATACTGACTGAAATTCAGCACGCTTTTACAGTTATTTTGACATGATTAGATTAGTTTTACTTTTTAAGGCTCAAAAGCTGTTCTGGGGTTTGATTTTTATTTACAAAGGGTTTTTTTGTTTTGTTTTGTTTCTCCACACCTGCTGTTTATAGGTACACCATCATTTACCAAAAAGGTTTTCAATTCTGATGAGAATAAGAAATGAAAACTATCATTACATCTCATCAGCAAAACAACCATTAAGAAATAACCCAGGTTAGCATCTAAGGACTTAAGCTAAATGCATAATGGCCTTCAACCAAACAGCTATAAATCCTGTTAGAGCTTTTTTCTAATCTGTCACCATACATGTACTGTGTGGATGCAAGTTTATCCTCTCCTGCTTTTTCTTTGTCTATATTTTTTTCATTTCTCTTTGGCAGCTGCCAAAGTATTGTATTGCAGTTAATCATGATAGCATGAATGTTACAGGTAACAACACTGAAATAAAATAATTTATTTCCCTTTGATCTAAATCTTTAATGCTTTCTCATTAAAAAAAAACAAACAGATTATGTGTATTATAATATTCTTGTTAGCTTAAATTACCAAGGCATTTCATTTTTTATCTTGGCCAGGTTATAAGGGCACTGATTTCTGTCTGTTTAGGAAGAATCCAAAGACAACGGTTCATATTTACTTGCTGGTGTTTTAACAATAGTGCAATAGCAAAAGAAAGGATACTGTAAATACAAGCAGATAGTCAGTATTCTAAACCTGTTACATCAGCTACAGCTAATCAGCCTAATAATTAGCAGCATCTGATATACATGTTCCTAAAACTGGGAAGATGTGATTTAGCACAGCAGTGAGATATATTCATGCCTCTCCTAGCTGCAGCTCTGTGCCCCGCAGGGGGCTGGGACTCTCTGTAGGGAAGAGAAGGGACGGGCTTTGTCACCCTGTGCTCTGAAGCAGGTCACACATGACCTGGTATAGGCTGGTAGAACTTTGGTTATAGCAAGGCTTCTTCCATCCTCAAACCCACTGCTCTGAGTTAGGGTTTATGGCCTCATTAGATATAGCATAACCATTCTTAAAAATTCCTGGTTCTCTGCTGTGGATCCCAAAGT